TTCTGGTGTTACAACCCTACTGCCAGTCACCACCAGGAATATGACTCACCTACAATCCCCAGATAAAATCTCACCAGAGGGATCCCCTGGCTTAAGGATCAAGACAGCTAGAAACCCTTTAATCTCAGGATGCTTGCTGTTTAAACCATCCTGGGGTCTAAATGGGATTATTTTAATCATTTACTCCTTATTCCCCAACATTTCCTCACTCAGTTAATCAGCCCCAGCTGGGAATGAACTTGGGCAGCAGAAACAACTGGGTATGGCCAGGGGAATGCACTGTTTATTTGGAATGGTTGTATCCTGTCTCCAAGGGAGTTCATAGGGTCAGTTGTGTCTACATCTATTAGTGAAATCTGACAAGGACATCACTGTGCTTGGGAAGAAGGCCGCAGCCTACAGTATCTTCATGCTTGACAGGTATGACACCAATCGTGGACAAGAGGAGGGTGATAGGTCAGAAGACCAGGACTCGGGCTCTCTGAGGTGGGCTTCTGTGCACTTGCAGCCTACAAGGGCCAGAAGAAGAGCATGCCAGAACACCCGCAAAGCTGCTGGGGAGTTAACAGGCCTTATCCCCCAAGATAGGACACCACCAGTCCCCATCCCCCCTTCTCCTCCCCGGTTCCAGGGGTAGGAGGCACAGGAGACAAAGCCCAGTGTTTGGTATTGCATGAGTGACTTCAAATTTGGCCCCAGTGTTGGGTTGATAACTAACCCTGAGCCTAGAGTTCTCACAGTGAGAGGGATTACAGGACAGAGGGACTGAGCAGAGCTGGCCACCAGCACATGAGTATGACATCAGTTTGCAAGTTTATGCATGAAGGCATGAACCCCCAACAGCCACTAGCAATGAAGAGTCAAAGCCCCAAGGAACTATGGGAACTTGTCCCAGACCTAAGGACTTCAGCAGGGTGGGCTCCCTGGAGGCTCAACTCCCTGAAGACTCAGATGGAGCCTGTGCCTCTCTCCAGCTTCTGGTGGCAGCAGGTCCCTAGGAGCACCTCAGTTTGGGGCTACATGACCTCTTCTACAGTCTTTGAATGAACTTCTCTGTGAATCTCTGTGCTTTCTCTCTCTTTTTTAGATAGGGCCTCATTTTGTAACCCAGGCTTGCCATCCTCATATCTCAACCTCATGAGTACTTGGAACACAGGCATGTGTCATCACACTTGGCTGTCTTCTTTTCTGTGTCTTACAAGCACACCTGTCATGGGACTGAGTCTGCTCCAATCCAGGCTGGTCTGAATCACATATGCCTTACCCTTATTCCAAAAAGGTTACGTTCTGAAGTTTTAGGCGGACGTATCTTTTTGGGGTCACAATTCAACCTTCTACATTTTATTCTTTGAGCTCTGAAACTTTACATCCATATCATAAGAAAAATATACCCCATTAAATCATTAACTGCAAATGAAAAAAATCTTATCTAACATCATCAGCTCAGCTCAAAAATGTCCCTAATGCCATCACCTAAGTCACCTAATCAGGTTTGGACGATAATTCTGAATTGTGACCTATCTTGGGGGTATGAATGCTTCTTGCCTGTGGATCTGGAAAGCAAGTTACCTACTTCCAAACTACAATGATGAGGTGGGCAGAAGCCATCCCAGCACCTAGAAAAGAGGAAGGAGCATAGGAGTCTTAAGGGTTCCTGGTCAAGTCTGGAACCTTGCAGGGCAAATTTGACTAAAGTTTCCAAGCCTGAGTCAGTCTCTGGGGCTGACCCTCTTCCCTCTGTGCACAGGATCATCAGGTCCACCCATGCCTCATTTCCCTGGTTATGAACTCAGAGTCATTCTAGTTATTTATTTATGTATTTTTGTATTTATTTAGGATAGCATGTATTTGTAGCTGAGCAGCTCTGTCTTTTCCTGTATGTATAAGTCTATAGCTTTGTTTTCATTTTGTCAAATCCCTGTTCCTTCCTTTTCTGTTGCAAGTTTAAGTTTTTGAAATGTAGAGATGTGTTGTGTGCATCATCGAGATTCATGCTATTAAACAAGAGGGCTCGTACACATCCATCTTCAATAAGTCCTCATCCACCCCACCTTCTGCTGAGATGTCTAAATGGATCTACAAAGCACACCCTAACATCTTCAACAAAAGGGTATCTGCCTTTCCCTGCCCTCTGCAGGCGTGTTTTCTCATCAGCCACCTTCTAATTTCAGCATTCTTAAGAGTCTAGACAGGCTGAGAACCTGCAGAATTATTGCATGCTAACAATTCTTCCTTCTTTCCTCACACTCCAAAGGTTCTACACTCCACATTGTACTTGGAAATTTCAGCTAAATATCCAAATATCCTCTTTACAAGTTCTTCTTTTCCTGACCAGTAAAGAGAATCAGACAGTAGAGACTCCAAGAGGGCTTTAGAATTGGCTGGAGGAAACAGTTGCACCAAAGCAAGAGCAGAGTTAGATGTACAGGTGCCAAATACCTGCATGAGTATTTGGAACACTATGGATCAGTAATTGTGATGTGGACCAGTAAGTTTCACCTTTATAAAGGTAAAAGGGGTGGCCAGAGGCCTCAAAGCACAACGCTACTCAAATGCCTGTCTGCTACCTAGGATGAGGACTTTGGTCTCATCCTCCTCCAAGTCCTTGTCCCAGCACTGGAGTCACCGACCCTACTACAAAAGCCTCAAAAACCTCAGATACCCCCAGATCAAAGCCTACCACTAAAAGCACTCTTCTCACACCTTCTTCCTATCCCCAGCTCCTCTCACAAGCTGCTAACATGTCTTTGCCTAGGGTGGAGGGGAACCAGTCAGGGTGGCACTTGGGGGTCTGCCTTGGGGAAGGCAGGAATTGTTCAAAAATACAGCATTGATTTACTTTTCTGTTCCAACAAAGAATTAGTACACAGTCACAACTCTAATTTTCTAATCTTCTTTCTGTTAAATATACTTTCGTTTATTTTCATAATTTATGCTTTATTTTCTACATTTGCACTTTGAACCCCTAATTTAAAATGGTTTTGAAGCCGGGCGTGGTGGCGCATGCCTTTAATCCCAGCACTCGGGAGGCAGAGACTGGCGGATCTCTGTGAGTTCAAGGCCAGTCTGGTCTACATGGTGAATTCCAGGCCAGCTGGGGCTACAGAGAGAACCTGTCTCAAAAAGACAAAAAAAAAAAAAAATCCCAACAGTATCCACATATTACCCTGCAGGTTTGGTCTGCTTGTCATATAACAGTGCTTGTACACAATCAGTACAGAAACGAGCCCCACACATTTTCCTCCCAGCTACAGGGTTTTGATTTCTGATTTCTGTGATCTTCAGAGGAGAATCTACATAGGGGAAGTGGGGAGAAGGGGTTTTTACCTACAGAGTCTTCAGGAAAGGGCAGGGCCCTTGCTGCTCCATTCTGACTGCTGTGCAAATGAATCCCTAGAATCTGACAGAGCTGGGCCTTTTGCCCCCTGTTGACTCTCACTGCTTCGGGGACTCATACCTCTGGCTTGAGCCCCTGATGTGGGACACAACACTATCAATTACAGGGTGATTCCTTTATCTGGGTGAGTCCACTCATTCCTGCTCCAGAAAAAACCCCTTTCTTGCCTAATCATTGTCCTAAACCATAGACAGCACAAAGGAAGAGTAGGCAGCCAGCCCTTTCTCGTTCAAGACAAGGGCTGCATTTTGGCCTGCTTGCTCACTGACATGCTTACTTCACTGGTCAACATGATCGAACTATGGTGCTCAAATATGTGCTCAAACATTCTGGGTGTTTTCACATGAGATTGACATTTAAATTGAAGGCTTTGAGCAGATTTTCCTATCAGCTTTCAGCAAAGAAGGGAATTCTGGTAGCAAACAGATGGCCTTGAGTTTCAGCTGTCCCCCATGTTGCCATCCTGCCACCTGCTCCATAAGTCCCACAATCACAGGTCCAATTCCTTAAACAAATATTTCTATTTACCACTCTGTGGTATATGAGATGGTATATGAGAGTTCTCTGAGGATACATTTATCAAGATAGCTGAGGCTCCTAGGGGTCATTTCTATGGAGAACCCTAGCTATATCTAGTGACTGAGACAACCAAAGGTAGACCTCAACACAACACTCAGCAGTCACTTACACTTAGCATCCACCTAAAGTCATTCATTCACTTCCCTCTATCTGGGCCCCTCTGAGGACAGAGAACTGTGATGGCCTCAGCTTCCTACAAAGTATGCTAGGTGCGCCCTCCACTAAAGAGCTCCATCCACTTTTTTTTTTCTTTTTTCCTTTTGGAGATAGGATCTCATTAAGTTGCTCAGGTTGGCTTCAAACGCTTGAGCCTCCTGCCTTGGCTTCTCTAGTAGCTGGGATTATAGGCATGTGCCACTAGGCCCTGTTAAATAAAAGCCTTCTGACTATGAAGGTCAAGGTCACTGGACACCTTTTAAAGTTGGAGTCAGGCCACAGTACAAGGTGGGGGAGATGGGGAACCCTCCAAGGATCCACTGTCCCCCAGGGTCTTCAGAAGGGTTGCAGGGCATCTGCAGTGGCCACTGGGAATGCAGAGTAATCTAGATTTCTAGTAGATTGAATGACTGTACACAAAAAAATATGTTTAATTTGAAATTCTTGTTAAGAGGTATCCAGAGTTGCAGAGCCAGGTTTGATGGCTTACACACATCTGTAATTTCAGAGTTAGCTGGGGATACCTAGAAATAGTCTCCACACATGCTTGTAGCCAATATCCAGGGGACTTGGACTTTCATCCCAGCACCCTGGCTTGCTGGCTGTTGTGCTCTCAAGCTCACCTTACCTCTGGAGCTTATTTCTTTACCTTAGGAACTTCTCATGGGGACATGACTGGCTCCTATTACAGATTTGCTATTGAGATCAAGGAAAGTAGTAGTTCTAGAATCCAGGAAGGAAGAATACAAAGACAGAAGAGTAGGCCAGCAGATGATATCACAGAGTGGGTAGGCTCCACCCCTTCCATAGCTGCTGCTTAGAAGACTAAGGACAGCAAGGGACAAAGGAGAGTCAAGGCAGGACTGACCTTAAGGGCAGGAATCTCCACACTGTCTCCGAGATTGATGGCACCTGAGAGGATGGTCCCAGTCATCACGGTGCCTTGGCCCTTGATGGAGAAGCAATGGTCCACAGACATGAGGAATGGCCCCGAGGGGTCTCTTGTTGGGATGGAAATCTGGGACTTCAGGAGCTAGAAGAGAGATGTTGCAATAACCACCTGCCAAGTGTGGGGAGGTATTCCTGATCAGGTTATCTACCAGGGGCACCCAGCAAGCTGTCCCAGATCATAGGACCAAAGCTGTAACTGCACTCAGTGAGAGGGAAAGGGTACTTGGGGAAGTCTCCTCTTCCCCAAGATCACTGAACTGACAGGATCACTGCAACAGTCTCCTCAGTGGCTGCCATACTGCAGTGGAGGCAGCCGCTACAGGACACTTCACCCATGGTCCTGGCCTCATACTGTCCCTGCCTGAGCTGCGACTCCAAGATTCCTCACATAGTCCCCAGGTACCATACAAATCTTGTCTGTCATGCTATGCCAAAATGCCAGGCACCCAGAGTAGGCAGGCCTAGAGTGTAACCTTCTCCCTGGATAACTCTTCTGCAGAGGTCTCTCCTGTATTGCTGAATCTCCCCATCCATTACTAGAGTCTATTCCCTGCTGTGACCATCTGTCTATCTCACCCCACAGGGCCACAGGACTTATATGGCGCCAGTAGTTGGCACCAATGCTTGAGGGAAGGGCATGTGAATGAAGGACAGGTGGAGGGAACCTGAGGTGAGGGGGTAGAAGGCTGGCTCCCAGGGGCAGCTATCTATGCCAGAGGTCTAAAGACAAGAGGTGGGAATGTACTGTGGAGTCTCCTGATCCCTCTGCCAGGCCCCAGCAGACAGAGATCTAGGCTAGCACAGCCTAGATCATAGCTGACTTTCCAGAAACATTAGTCCCAACTGCCCAGTGTTCCTTGGGTCATGTATGTGCTCCGAGATACTGTCAGAGATAATTATCAATAAGCAAATGAGCATAGAGGACACATTTCTCCTTTTATTTTGCTACCTTTTGATTTCATAAGTAAACAGTAGTAATGTCAAAAAAGCATTCGGGGTGAATTTTCTGAAGTCACTGTCTTGTGCTACCAATTCCTTTGGAAATATGGAGAGATTCAAAACAGGCTGGGTCTGAGATTTATACAAGAGGCTTCTTAAAGGAATATAAATCTTTCATAGTCATATTTTTGTGGATATGCTTGAGCTGTCCCAGGTTCCCAGGCTTGTGTTCTCTAGAACTGATGAAGTAACAAGAACCTCTCCCAGAAAACATTTGTCAAGTATAACTCACAAGCATGGCAGGATCCTTGGTCACACTTGACCTTAGCTCTGTGGATTTGGGTCAACAGACCCTGGTCACTGGATAAGACAAGCAGGCAAGTGATGTACTCTTTTGCCTCTCTCTCTCACACATCAAGTAGAGAAGTTGGGCATTGTGTCACACAGCCTCAGAGTCTCAGGCTGGAAGGTGAAAAGTTCCAGGTCAGCCTGAACTACTTAGTGATCCTGCCCCAACAAAAAAGGCAACAGCAAAATTTCATATCAGACAACTTATTTCATACAGTTAAAAAAAAAGTGATGGGTGGGGAGACTCAGCCATATAAGTGAGGCTTCTCCAGAAGAAGAGTCCAGGGAGAAGTTGATACTCCAGATTTACCTGTTCTGGGCACCTGGCTGGGGAAAGGGGATACATGGCAGATGAAGCCTGTGGGACACCTGGGGACTAGGTGAGGAATCTTGGAGGCTGCAGCCCAGGCAAGGATACTAGAATCATGGGCCAGGCATCTCAGGAGAGGATAGGCCATGCACTGCCTTAAGACCTTGGGCAGGTCACTTCACGTCTCTGACTCTCATTCTTCCTCAGGCTCCTGGTTGTTGTGAAAGTTACAGACTACATCCATAAAGAACTTAGTGTGGAGCCTGGCATGTCAAATCATGTCATGGTCATAAGAAATATATTACTCCCAGTAACACAATTAGCCTCACAGTGCCACAAGGTCAGTGTGGTCATTACTTTCCCTGCATTGTAACTTTCTTCACTGTATGAAGTTGTCTGATACAAGCAATTAGGCTGTTGTGGTTTGAAACAGGGTCTCGCTAAAACAAGCTGGCCTCAAACTTTCCATTTTCCAGTCTTAGCCTCAGAGGATATGTGCCACCAAGCCTATGGATCACTATAGTCAGAGAGGAGTGGTCGGCCAGCACCAGTACACAATCCAGCCCCAAAGCCCCTACACCAAAGTCAGTGACTCTCAGAGCTCAGTGGAAGAACTCTGTACCTCCTTCTTACTGCCTTCCTCCTTCACACCATCACCTCCACCACTCTGTACACATCCCCTGCCTGCTGACTGGACTGGATGCTGCTGTCACCTGCCAGGCATGGAGCAGGGCAAGCTTATGGTCAAACTAGAATTCACCAAAGCCACCAGGTGACGCCTGATGAAAGCCCCACCTCCTGGTGAGCTGGGCCAGGTCAGACAGCTAGTGTTATAACTGTACTTCATACTTCTGCCACACTCTTGGCTCCCTCTACTCAGTGAGAGGGAGGCAATGCTGGGCCACCTGGACGGCTGGCCTCCTTGCCTCTTATCCACTGCACTGAATCAGGGGGAATAGTCTGGACCTTAAGGCCACAGCTCTGGAAAATGAAATATCTACTGCTTTGGTGGAGGCCATAAAGATGGAGGCTGTGTTGTTCCAGGCACTGGATCTCAGCCTAGATAGAGGCAGACTAGAGGGACCAGCACAATCTGAAGGGTAAGAGTGGACCTTGTGGTCAGATATGCTGCACAAGGGCTGAGTCCTAGCCCAGAGGGGTAAGGAAAGAGGGCAGGCAAGAGGGACTGATAAACCTGGTGAGCTCTTTTTTATCAGAATGTGAGAAGAAGAAGGAAAGAACAAGATGCAAGGTGAGAAGAGATCTAACAGCCACGGAATGCAGGCAGCACCCAACACCCAGAGGTCTTAAGAGGCCTAAGGGCTTTGTTTTGTTTTTTTTGTTTTGTTTTGTTTTGTTTTGTTTTGAGGGAGGAGAGGGGTCCCACATCAGGATGATCAAGGAGGCTTATGGAACCAAGTTGAAGTCTCTTACTGGGACTGCCTCTCCCTCTTTCTCAGGCAGAAAGGGACATGAGCAGCTGCCTCAGCAGGGATGGGGCAGAGGACATTCTGGGTTCAAGATGACAGTACCTCAATGAGTTCTGAGATGCCCTGTGGAGCTTCTGTTTCAGGGGCCTCTGGTCCCCCAGGCTTGGCTGCCACGGATATAATCGGTGCACCCCGGAACCTGAAATGGAACAACAAGCACTGTGACAGTCACAGAGGCTGTTGGTGCAGCTGGTACATTGCTAAGCACACTGGGCACCTTCTCTTCACCCTTCAGGTGAGCACTAGAAGTCAGCACCACTGCTCTCGGTCACAGGTAAGGAGGCAGAAGCCACACAGGAAAGGCTGTACTTTCAGATATCACAAGATAAGGGGGTTCTTCTAAGCCTTAACTCCACCTCCCAAGCCTCCACAGGAAGCGGCAGGGGCAGGGGCAGGACCTGGAATACAAGAGCCCTTGAAGAGAACTCACACATCTCAGCTTCCTGAGAATCAGGACCACTGGTGACCCAAAAGTCCCTGAAGTTGCATCTAGCAGTGCACTTCATACTTGGGAGTAGAAGACAACGGTAGGATCTGGGCCAGCCAGGAAGCTCTGCCTCCCAGAGGAGAGTCTCCTACTAGCGGCAGGCCATCTTCACCACAACTAAACAAGTAACAATTGCAGGGAAACGGGGGAAGAGAAAACAGCTCATAATCCCACCAAATACAGCATAGGCTGTAGTTTCTTCTGAGCATAGTTTTTCCATGCTTTGCCAAGGAATTTCTCCCCCATTTTCATGTCTTCTATATCTTACATACAATATTTCCTATGCTGCAAAATATGTATATGATGTCATATCCTGCTAACTTGTTTACCATTAAATCATTAAGAATTTTCTATTGAGTGCCAGCAACATCAAGAGCAGTGATAGCTCCGCTGTGCTAAGCACTTAGCACAGACACTTCTGTTTACACCTCAACCTGCCACTGGGCTCTTCCATCTTGTAGGGGAGGAAATGGAGAGGTAGATTACTTTCTCTAAGTCACCAACTATAACCCTCGGAGCCAAATTCAAATAGCCCTTCTGAACCTGGAGCCTGCTTTTTTACCTCTTCTCAGTGTCCCTTCCCAGTCTTCTCTTCATCACTGCTTGCTGCACAACAGTATGATCCAGAATTATATGCTTGCCTCCAAAGTGACTCATTTATGGTCCTTCAATGTTATTCCAAGCAACACTGTGATAAGTGTGCTGAAAAGGACTGACTTGGCTTGGCCTTGGCTTTCTCGGACTGCGCACACCTTGAAAGGGCAGCAGTCATGTTGAATAAGGACATGCAAAAATGCCTCAGCATTGAAGCAACAGGAGCACAAGTGATCAGAACCTAGGAACTAACCACAGTCTTGAACAAAAAGGGAAAAAAGATGAGCCTCTGAGAATAAGTGAAAGAAATATATTTTTAACCTGTTCTAGTCCCATGTTCCCCCGAACCCCCTATTCTGTCAGATGTTTTGGGAGACTCTCCATACCCAGGGCTCTGTCTCAGGCAGGGAACTTGCTCTGGCTCCCACTGCTCCAGCCTCTAGGACTCGACCTGTGGCTGCAGGCAAAGAGACTCACTTCTGCCTCAACCTCCAAGACTCCAGACTTTGACTACAGACTGAAGGAGTTTGTTCCTGCGGCGGCATCCAGCCTCCAATAGCTGCAGGTGATGTCTTTAGGAAGACTTTCTAAAGGAACTGTTCTCTGTTGGCACTGGAAGCCCTCTAGAGCTTTTTGAGCTGTAACACTTGCCAACAATCTCCTAGATGGCATCCTGAAGCTGCTGAGGGCACGGAGCTGTAATACCTGCAGCCTCTCAATTGGCATCCTGCTGCTGCTGAGGGTTCCAGAGTTTCTACTTTCCTACTGGAACTTTGACTTTCCCATTTAAACTGGTACTCTCAAAGGGCGAATAAAGTTACCCTCGTTTTCCCTTCACTGTCTGCCCACTCATTCTTAGAGGGAGGGTGTGACAAGAACCCAAGATAGGAGAAGTCTTACTTTCCCACTGTAATAGCCTTTTCCCTGAGGGCATCTGTTGAAAATAATGAAAAATAGTGGTTTAACATCACAATGTTCATAGCTGGCTTGGAAAAGCTCCACCTCAAGCACAGGGCCTGTAGGCTCAGGAAAGACTTGAGAAGAATCTGGGCCCTCACTTCTGACCCTGAGGTTCTATGTAAGTAAAAAGTAAAGCAGACCTGTCAACTGCCTGCTTAAACACTGACAGCATGGCCAAACTGCACACAGAGCCCCTGATCTGGCTTCCTCAATCAGCCATTTAGGGAAACCTCTGCCTTGTCATTAATGGCCACTACGCTAACTAAGCAGACACCTCAGGAATCACCATGACAAGGAATACAGACTGTACAATTTGCTCAGAAAAGTCATCAAACTGTAACAAAGCCACTGGCAGGTGTGTCTGACTTTATAACTACCCATTGTATTATTTTTAAATATCCAGGTTTCATCAAACATTTACAATACATGCATGTTAGCCTTTTTTTTTTTTTTCTGCTGTGACAAAATACCTGAGGCAAAACAACAGAGAAAAAGATCTCTTTTCTCAGTGTCAGAGGTTAAGTGTGTCATGGTGGGCAGTATGGCTCACAGCGTCAGAGGGTGAATGTGTCATGGTGGACAGGATGCAGGGCAGAGCTGCTCCTATCACGACAGCCAGAAGCAGAGATATAACTTATGCTATCTGGTTTTCTTCTTTTTTTCCCATCCAGGCCCCCAGTCTATGGTATGGTGCTGCCTGCATTGGTGGGGGGGGGCGTTCTTCCCCCTTAGTTCATCCTCTCTGGAAACACCACTGCAGACATACCTAGAGGTATGCTTTGCTATCTCCTAAGTACTTCTCAATCAACCAAGCTGTCAATCAGTACTACACATCACAACATGCAAAGAAGCAAGAGAAGAGTCCACATACAAAAGAACTATCTGAACTGTTCCTGAGGAAGCCTTCCCAGATAAATAAAGAAACCAAATCCAAAAACCTAAAAGGGAAATGTGACAATACTTCAACACATGCAAAAAGTTGAAAAAGAGTTAGTGTCCTCTGGCAATCTCCTCAGATGAACCATTCCATCCAGGAAGTTCTACAGAAGGTTTAAGATTCAGGAAGTAACCAGCTCAAAAGTCTCAGAGAGCTCCAGGGTTCCACCTTTCAGTGATGTGGCTACCTTTGAGCTATCCATGCTCCTGTGAGTGACTCTAATAAACTCATTGGTTCATAGATCTGGACTTTGGTGGTATCATTACTTTGGTCTGTCGTCAGTTCCCAATCTGGAGTAAGTCGATATTTGTATCTCCTTAGGAAATATTAACACAACAGTTAGGATTTTTTTTTTTTTTTAATCCTGGAGTAGAGAAATGCAAGAACTAAAATGAAAACTCCACTAGAGGAGTCAGCAGTGAATCTGAGCTGGCAGAATAAAGAACTGATGACTCAGTTCATTCCACCTGAGAAAAAGAAGAAAAGAACCTAGTCTTAGAGGCATGGTGGTGCTCCAGGCTGAGCAAGATGGGGCTCCTGAAGCAAGGAGAGCAAAATGGGAGCATAAAGAATGATGAAATGATAGCCTGAACCTTCTCAAATTTTGATGAAAAAAACAATGTACACATTAAAGAAGGTGAACAAAGTCCAACAATAAACTCAAAATCCACAACTAGAGAGATCACAGTCAAAGGCCAACAAGTAGAGAATTTCCAGAGCTTGGAGAGGGAACTGACATGTGCCTATGCATGAGATCCACAAGGAGATAAAGCTAGCTTTAGAGACAGAAATCGGAAGGTAACAGGATGTCCTCCTAGTCAAGTACTGAAAGTTTAAAAGATAAAGCCTGCCAACTAGAACCCTACAAAACATACTTCAAAAATAAAGGAGAACACAAGTATCTGACAGTCATGTAATTCCATTCCCATATATACACTCCAAAGAACCACAAACAGGACATAAATACATGCCCAGCAACAGATTAATGAGGATAAAAACTGTGGCATGAAAAACAAACAAACAAACACAGGGGCTAGAGAGATGACTCAGTAGTTAAGAACACTAGCTGTTCTTCCAGAGGACCTGGTTCGATTCCCAGCACCCACATGGCAGCTAACAATCTTCTGTAACTCCAGTTCAAGAGGATCTAACACCCTCTTCTGGCCTCTGTGGGCATTGCATGCATGTGGTGCACTTATATACATGCAGGCAAAACACACAAACACATAAAAAAAAATAAGCTATTATTTCTGTGGTTAAAAAAATATAACAACAGTATTATTTAGCTATAAAAAGAAATGAAGTGCTGACATGGGTTTCAATGTGGATAAAATTCAAAAACACACTAAGGGAAAGAAAGCCAGACAAAAGGTCACTAATGATGTGATTCTATATATATGAACAGCAGATTGGGGATCCCAGGCAGTATTATGGGGGGAAAATGAGGAGCAATGGCCTCTTTTGGAGGTGAAGGAAATATTAACAGGTTAACTGTATGGCATATGATTTACATCTCAAACAGCAAAAATAACTACTGACACTTTTGTTCCTTATTCACCACCATGGTATCAGGTATCTGTTTCTCTGCACGTACATCAAAACAGAGCTGTAATTTTTTGCTATTTTGTATAGTCTGTTTTAATCTACACTTCCTTGGCAGAGCCACATGGCATTTCTTACACACTAAAGGCACTATGAGGAGACCCTCCTGCTGTACTCTAGTTCTGGACTTTGCTAGCTGCAGGAAGCATCCTCACCTGCCTCATTTCCAAGACTGCTCTCCATGCGCTGCGTATACAGCCCAGTATTTTCATGTATTTTCTTTTTGATCAGAATCTGCATTTTTTAATATCTTATTTTTTATTTTTATTTTACATATATGCGTGTATTGCCTGAATGTATGTAAGTGTACCCATGTCATGCAATGCCTGTGGAGAACAGAATAGGTCATCGAATTCCCTGGAACTGGAGTTTCAGATAGTTATTAGTTGCCATGTGGGTGCTGGGATTTGAACCTGGGTCTTCTGCAAGGTCAATGTTCTTAACCTCTGAGCCATTTCTCCAGCCCCCAGAATCTGCATTTTTAAAAACTTAGTTAATTTACCTATAATGAAAAGTTGTGGGTCCCAGCAGCCACAGCAACTTGGCAGCCACTGCTGGC